CTTCAAATATTGGAGGCTTTCCGAGGATTTTATATCGGAAAATCATATGACTGCACACTATGTGTTGGTTACATTGGTGCTGTTGTAATACTGTAACAGATAATTTATTTGTGAACAGGTCAATATGCAGAAAAATCTTTAGGATACATTAATTAGCTGACACGAAATATTTATTAGCTAATTAGACTGGAACATATTGATAAAACTTATTATTTAACGAAAAAATTTTTTTTCTTCTAAAATGTTAACTAAAAAACAGTCATCAGAAGAAATTACTAAACTTACTAGAATTTTTCCGAATTAAGTTTTGCAGACTCCCAAAATCAGCAGAAAAAGGAAAATATTCATGCTTGGTTATCGTTATGAACACGGAATTGATGTTGAAAAGGATGTGAATAAGGCATTCAATTATTATCTAAAATCTGCAGAACATAATTATAATGGAATGTTTCAAGTTTGCTTTTGTTATTATAATGGGATTGGTACCGAGATGGATAAATATAAAGCATTTGAGTATTACCAAAAATCAGCTGAACTAAATAACTCTAATGGAATTTTTAAAACCGCCTTTTGTCACTATTACGGAACTGGAGTGGAAAAGAATGTGGATAAGTTTCAAGAATGGATTATGAAATAGGTTAATTTTTGATTTGTGCTACATTATTTAAAATTAAATATCATTAATACAATTTTAATTATCAGAGAGTAAATATAATAATGCTATTAGTGTATGTAATAAAATATCTAATTAAAAATTTATAAATATCTTATTGAATTATCTTATCGGTTATAATAATTTAGCCCGTGAGTAAAGATCTTTTATTAATACAGTACAGCAGATGGGATTAAACTGAAAATAATGTTGTAAACACTTATTCACAATCCGCTACTTAATTCCCTTCAAATCATTTTAGTTAGTATGAAGATGATTTAATCAATTGAATTAAAAAACAGAAGCAATGCACACGAATCATGTTTATATATATTTATTTACCCTCACCTAATACGCTTCAAATCATTTCATACACATCGTTTAGTCTGTGAGAATAAAGATGGAATTAAAAACATAAATCGTGTTCACAAATCATGCTCATGAATACTTATGTTTGTTTACCATTACACAATACCTTTCAAATTATTTAGTTAGTGAGTATAAAAATTAGTCAGTGGGATTAAAAACAGCAAATCATTTACAAATCATGTTCATAAATACTTATCATAATTATTTATTTACCACTATCTAATCCCTTCAAATAATTTCATTCGCATTAATTTATCCAGTGAGTATATGATTTATTGATATGGAATTAATAAATAGTAATATATAGTTATTTGGCAGTCCGATCATAGTAAGATATTGGATAACAAGAAATTATTTGCCATTACCTAATACCTTACCTTTTCGTTCAATGAGTGAGTACAAAGATTATTTATTGTCAATGGAATTAAAAACAGCAAACCATTTTCACAAATCATGCTCATAAATGCCAATTCATAAACCTTATTTGTTACTACCTAATACCCTTCAAACCATTTCATTCATATCATATTAACTTAGTCGGTGAGTAAGATGATCTATTAATCGATGAAATTAAAAATAACAATTCATGCTTATAATAAGTCTTACTTATCATTCCCTAATACTCTTCAAATAATTTTATTTGCATTAACTTAGTTTGTGAGTATATTAAGCAGTGAAATTCATAAAATACTTATTCATAATACTTATTTATCATTATCTAATACCTTTAATACCTTTCGAATCATTTCATTTAGCTCGTGAGTATAAAGATTACGTGAAATTAGAAACAGCAAATCATTTCATAAATACTTATTTATCATTATCTAATACTCTTCAAATCTTTTCATTCAGCTCGTGAGTATAAAGATAATTTATTAATCGGTGGAATTAAATCATGTTAACATATCGGGTTCATAAATACTTATTCAAAATACTTACTATTACCTAATAACTTTACTACCTTTCGAGTAATTTCATTTAGTGAGTGAGTATAAGATGGATGATTCATCAATCAGTGAAATTACAGTAAAAAACAGCAAGTTATGTTCAAAACCTTGTTCATAAATACCTATTCATATACAATAATTTACCATTATCGAATACCTTTCAAATCAGTTCATTTAGTGAGTGAGTATAAAGATGATTTTATAAGCAGCAACACATTTTCGCAATCTTATCCATAAATTCTTAATCACTACCTAATAACATATATCCCCTAGAGACTATTTCTGCATATTCAACATTTGGTTTTTGATATGAAACCATTGAGGTACTTCAGCGGTTTCATATCAAAAAACAGCGCAGTAATAGTTTCTATGGTATGTATACCTAATACCCTCCAAATTATTTTAGTTAGTGAGTACCGTATTGGCGCGTAATAACGCGCATCTACGCGTTATTTCGAGACCCTGCGCGTTATTTCGGGACGCGCATACGCGATATTTCGAATCACTCTGACAAATTGGAGACGGTAAATTCAATATATGATCTACTTATATAAAAGTACGCGTTATTTCGGGACGCGCATATGCGTTATTTCGAGTCAAAAATGCAATTTTCAAAAAAAGGCGTGTTTTGAAATAACGCACATGTGCGTTATTACGCGCCAATACGGTATGTATAAAGATAATTTATTAATCAGTGGAATTAACAATGTTCTTATTTATAAATATATTACCTAATACTTTAGTCAGTGAGTATAAAGATGATTAACTTGTGGAATTAAATCATGATTACAAGTCATGTTTATAAATACTTATTTATAAATATTCATTAACCATTATACGTACAATACAATTCAATCATTTTCATATAGTAAGTGAGTATAAAAATGATCGAAATTAAAGACAGCAAGTCATATTCATAAATCAGGTTCATAAATACTTATTTATCATTAATAATATTCTTTAAATAATCTTAGTAAGTATTGTAACGATTAATTTTTCCTGTGTCTCCTCACTTCCGTATTTGTATAATTCTTTAAGTTGTCACTTACATTCCATAATTGTATTACAATAGCCATGCTAATCTTACCTTAGTAGTATTAGGCATTTAATGTATTTGTAGGAGGCTTAATTCATGCAACCGCGAATACGCGGTATTTATAGCGTATACGCGATTGCATAAACTTGTAACATTGCGTTTTGGTCAAATGAGGAATCTACAGCGTAAGCGTTGAGATCACTGTGCTGATAATCTGTAAAATTGAATGTATAAGAATGTGTCTTCATTCTTAATTGAGGGTAACATTCGCTCTCCAAAATTCTCCTGTAAATAAAGATCACATATATTCGCATTCTTTTTATAATAAATGCCTAATAAACCATGAATACCCGAATGCCATAATTTATTGTCCAACTCATGTGACCCCTTAACGTCAACCATCGGAGTTAAACTCGGCATAACAGTACCAAGCTCTCCCTTACGATGGTTACAGTATAAAGATGATTTGTTAATCAATGGAACTAAAAACAGCAAACCATGTTCATAAATTATTTTGATAAATACTTATTCCATTACCTAATAACTTTCAAATCATTTTATTCACATTAATTTTAGTTAGTAAGTATAAAGATGATTTATTAATCAGTTGAATTAAAAGTAGTAATTGATGTTTACAAAGTTCATAAATACTGATCATTACCCAATACCCTTCAAAATCATCTCATTCGCATTAATTTAGTCAATGAATAGTGCTCGGCAAAATCAAACCTTTTTTGACACTCAAATACAGCAATACGGTAATGCGATAATTTCTTGTTATCTGGCATGATGTGACGGATACATGGGTATTCGGCAGGATGATAGCAACGCACGTGGCCGAAGGCCACGTGCTTTTGCTATCATCCTGCCGAATACCCATGTATCCGTCACATCATGCCAGATAACAAGAAAATATCTTATAGCATATTTTATGATGGTATTTTAAAATTATGTAAAATTATTTTATTATTATTATTATTATTATTATTATTATTATTATTATTATTATTATTATTATTATTTGATATACAATATCGTAATTTAATGAAATAAATATAAGCTTTAAAAGTCCGTTACTTTATTTTGAACTAAGATTTTGGTATCCAGATATTGAACCTGATTTAGGTTCAATTTTTGGATACGTAACCTAAATTTGGATCAGTTGAACCGGGAACATTTTTCGAAAATTTGTAGTGTAAGACTTGAAAGGCTTCTATCTCGCTTCCTTCGACTCCAGCCAATTATAATAAACGCAAATTTATCAAATACCATACGATATATTGATGCCTACATTTTTAATACGTACACCCTAACGTCGCATAGTTGTTTAATTTTCAGGTTTATTTACTAAAATATCCGCAATCTTATATAGTGACCAGGAAATTTATAAATTAACAAGTAATGTTGTAATGTTTATGTTATACCACGGTCTGATCGTTTATGCAGGCAGATCAATATTCTAATCTAAGTTGATAATTACAATCAAATAATCTCAAAGTATCATTTAAAAAAAAACGGATGACTTATTGAGTAATTTTCATATTACAATAAAAAATGATTATATTTGGGAAGTATTTATTGAATTTATTGATAGCTATTATTAATACAGAATAATCATGTTGGCGTTTAATATTAAATGTGGCTATCATAATTTTTCCATTATTCCGAATCATTTCCGACCTCATTGCTACACGCTGCAAGATTTTTCCGTTTTTCCATTTTTCCGCGTAAAACAAATATGATCAATGGTTTAAAAACGTAAATTGTAATAATTTACAATAGTGCAAGTATGCCAAGCGTGCAAATATTTATTTTTCCGTTTTTTCCGTTTTTGTTGTTGACCAAAAAAAAAAAGAAACGGAATCAATATTTTGTCACTCCAAAAAATTTATAAATAATCCATTTTTTTTACCTTCAATCCTTCGTCCTCGAGATCTTTCACACATTATTTATGAAACTTTAAGAAATTACCTGTTATTAAAAACATAAAGTAATAATGTCTGAAGTTACACGACTTTCTTATCACGTCTTGAATTCAGGAGTTTTACGACAAAACTACGATGCCAATGACCTGGCTAGATCTTATCGATGTGTTGATGAACTTACAGGATTTAAAGTTCTGCAGCTTGTTGTAATGCCAGAATGTCATAGAAATAATATACGTTGTTCAAGGACTATTAAACAAATTACGACATGTATTTGGAACGATCATACAACAAGAAGTGATAAAGAATATTTTATTGACCTCGCAAGTCAGATTAATGAAATACTTGCAAATCAGAGGCCATATCGAACCATCCGTAAAAGACCTAGAAGAATGCCTGACATGGAACATAATTCTCTTTCCTTAACTATATTTTATGGCAGTAATTTTTGAGTGGAAGAAGTGGAACGAACAGAAGACTTAACAACCTTATTCTTTATGAATTCAACCGACTCCCTTCCGTAATTATGAAAAAAAATTCATCCTCTATAGAATCTTCGGATTCTTATCTGAAATACCAAACCAAGAATTATACTCTTGAATAAAAAGTACAAGAAAAAGCACAAGAAATAATTCGAAGCGAAATAACTAGCATCAGCGACAGGTGAAAATGAACTGTCGAAATGATGTCAACAAAAAACAAAAATAATATAAGCGTCAATACAAAGTTGACGAAAATTGCATATGAATGTATACAAAGTATATGATTAAAAATAAGCACTAAGATTTTATTTTCAGTTCAAATTTAAGAGCTCAATACATATGGTAGTTAAAGTAGTTAAGTTTTTGTATAGATTTTTATGTACAGTAGAATAGTTTTAAATAGTGTTATCACTTTACTATGTCCAGCGGCTATTGGACTTATTAAATTACTACATCAAAAATTCAGTGGCGCAACACTGGAATGTGTCCAGTGTAGTTCGTTTGTAAAAGTAGAATTGTAGGCATGTAAATTGGCAAATATCTGTAATTATATCGAAAATAAATTTGTGAAACAAAAAATAAAAGAAAAAAGAATATTGTTCCATTTTTTCCGAAAATTGTTCCTATTTTATACTTATTTGGTTAGATTACTGTGCACAATGACGAACTTAATAAAAGAAAATTCTATTAACAAAACAATACGTAACACATTAAATAAAGAATGTTCTATAAAATTCTACTATCGAACAACTTATTTTCTAAAATTTCCACTTTTGGAATTAAAATTCTAAGAATTTTCGATTCTCAAACTACATTAACGCGGGGGCAACGTTCATATATTGTATTATTATATAACTGTATAATGATAATGCAGAAATTTCCTAATAATGCGATAACTAGTAACATAAGCTAAGCCTTAGAAAAACTACATACCAGGTACAGTACAGCACTACGGTATCGGAAGCTTATATCCGATGACAATCAGGTGAAATGGTTCAATTTTCGCATGACTGCCAAAAACATAGCATTTTTTTTAAACTTAAATTTTTTACAGACAATTTTTTCCATATTTTTTATGAAAACTCCGTGAATCTGCAACATGATCAACAAAATCTAGCAAGCCGAATAATCTCCATGATATAAATTCCGGGAATATGCAACATTTACGAAAAAAACATGGAATATAAAACACGGATTGGCTTTTTTACTGGTACGTGTATAAAGAGTCATTACCGATTTGAATATTAGGATTTTTTTTTCGAACTATAACTTTTTATAGAAGAATTTTTTAAAAAATTAACAGTTAACTTTGTAGAGCTCGGTCAGTTTTTTGATAAGTTTGTCTTTAAAAAGTTTTAACGCTTTAAAAAAAATGCTATATCTTTAACGCAGTATGTGCAAAAATGTCGAAATGCATTAATTTTATTAGTCATCGCAGTCACTCTAAAATTGAACCATTTCGGTATAAGCCTCCGCACCATATATTTTTTTACTTTTATTATTAAAGAAGTGGGTTGTTTGAAAAATATTTTCAGATGATTGAAAGAAGTAGTTTTTCTCTTGCTTTTCTTTAAGAGTTTTTTCTCTAATTATTTTTCCTCTTGATATTGGTAAAGATTTCTTATTTTGAGAAACATCCATAAGTAACGTTATGCAGGAGGAAGAAGTGGAGTACTTCATATATAACAACTTTTTTAATAAAATATAAGGACTACAAAATAATACATTATATCATTTTTATTTTACTGTAAATTATAATTGGTTTGATATTAAATAATAGTTAGGTACATCCGAATTTTCATGATTTATTTTCTGTATATAAAAATTTTAAATTATTTTTTAACCTTTTTTTTTGTTTTCTTCTAATTAAATTTTTTATTTGTATTTATTATTCATTTATTTTAAAATTAATATTTATTTTTTAGCTGCT